TGATGACCTGTACTCACCCAGACCTAGCTTACCCTCTTAGCATCCTTGCGCACTTTGGCCATGGCCGAGGTGTACGCTGCGGCCATGGCCGCCCAGGAGCTTTGCTGGCTGTCTTTCCTCCTTACTGACCTCGGTGAGAGGCCTCGCTCTCCCCCAGTCTTGTTTGCCGACAGCAGGTCTGCTATCTTGTTGTGCGAGGAGCCCCGACTGGTTGGGAAGGCGAAGCACATCTAGCTTCGTTACATCCTTCTGCGAGAGCTGCAGCAGCATGGCCAGGCACTCGTGCGACGTGTGGACAGGCCTTGTGGCCCCTTGGTCCTATAGAGATGCTTGTCATGTATGTCTTGTACTCTTGTATTTCTTACATCTGCTATATCATTGCGTGTGGACTGGCCTTGTGGCCCCTTGCTTGTTCTCGGACTGTGTGGTGATCTTGAGATCCACCCCGAGAGTTGCTTTGTTCTTGTGAACTGGTCTTGTGACCGCTGCTTGTTCTTGCTGACGGGTCCTGTGACCCTTGCGCTTGCTTTTTACGGGACTACCGTCACCTAGACTATGGGGGTGTGTCAAACTATAATTGTTAGGTTAGTCTAGGTGTTATACTGAGTTATGCTGTAGAGGGTATAACCCCCTTAGGGTTTGTTATATGCTCCCTTAGTACCACTTGTTTCTACTCATTCATTCACTAGTTGTTACTTTGACAAGAAGGAAGAACTTGCAGGAGAAATGAAGGGGGCCGCAAGCAAGGCATCAAGGGACACAGGCATGAGTAACGAACAGATTGTGGCCGGATGGGACATTAAGGGACATTAGCTGCACTAAGGGACATTAGCCGCGAGTGGGAGAGGGAGAAGGATGGGGAGGAAAGATGGGAAGGGGGAGGAGATGGGGGAGTGGAAAAGGTAAAATGGCAAGGGCAGCAATGGAGGCAGGCACGGGAGGCTATCAGCTCCGGATGAAGAGCGGAGGGGGAAGGGATCATAAACAATCACCCCACTACCCCATACATGTGATATGTCATGTAAACAGCACATTGTGAGCGACCACAGAATCTACATGGCACTTTTTCCAGCCCGACCTGGAATGGGTTGGCTTGCTGGACAGGTAGGCTAGGCTCGGCTGACTCAATGTCGGCCAGAAGTTTAGAGAATATCGGCCCCGCCCAGCACGCGACCCTGGCCATGCTTTCTCATGCCTAGAGTCCCATACAGTACATGTGCTGAGCTCCCTTCGTCGTTTCCTGCACGTCCAAGCCACCACCACCTCGCTCTCTGCCGCCTCTTGCCCTGCCCACACCCATTTCTCCCCATAGCCTTCCCCGTCTCTCTGAAAATTGGGGGCAAGCGCATGTGAGACGCACCTGAAAGCCATGGCGTGCTGGAAGGCCGATGTGGAAATTGGAGTGGTAGCTGAGGAGCAGGAGTGCAGCCAGGATGCAGTGCAGGAGTTGGTGGGTCATGGTGTACGTATACCAATATCGGCTCCTGGTGTAAGGGAAATGATGACCGGCGGTAAGAGGTGTTGGTGGGAGGGATGAAGCAAAGGGAAGACGGATGGAGAAGAAGCTTAGATTGAGGGGAGGGAGACGGGCTGGGAAAATGAGGTGGTGAAGGGATAAAGAGGGGGGGGGTTGAGGGTGAGAAACAGGAAGCGGGTAAAGTGAGAAATGGCAGGGTGGGGGGGAGGCAGGGGGGGTTGGGTAGAGAGGGAGGGGAGGGGACGCAAATGGGGATGGGGAGGGGCAAGGCAAATCGCCTTGAATCTGTCATAGATGCCCAAGTCCTGCATCGTTTCTTGATAAAAGTTCTCGGATCTCCCATGGATGCCCTTGAATAGCACGTACTCCTGCAGGGCCACGTGCAGCCTGCCCACTGCGTTGCTTGCCCACCGCACCACACCACTAGAACCACGCCACCACCATGTGCTTCGTTATAAGCTGACTTGATACACTCTGCTGTTGTGCCAGCTTGCGCCTACGACTGCGACTGCATCTGTGGCTCTCCCATGGGCAGGTGCTGTTGGTGATGGCAGGTGCTGTTGGTGTAGGCAGAAGAAGCGTACGAGGGGGAGAGAGGAGGTAAGACCATACTGACAAGCGACGAGAGGGATTCTCTGATGGCTGATGGCAATGAGCAGGAAAGCAGTGCTTCATTGTTGTGCTTGCTAGATTCATAGCGTGAGATGTTGCATCGCAGAACAAGGGTCTCGTTACCATGGTCTGGTTACCATCTACATTGCACGGTAATAGCCGTTACCTCGGTCGTCTCGCCAGCCTCATGCCCATCTCGGCTGCGGCGACCTCAACAACCTCTATTTGTCAGCAAATCTATACCCATTGACGTAAATTCAACGCAGCTTTGACCTGGATAACGGATCGGGAACAACTAGACAAAGCAAGAAACCAAAACATTGATTTCGTCAATGCAGCGCCTTCCTGCTGCCCGCCTCTACCCAATCCCCCACTGACCGACATCACCGCCACTGCTGCTGCTCCTATGCTGCGAGGCTGCATGGCGTAGAGATGAGATGCGCCCCTTATGGTGAGTGCATACATGTACACAGGGCCGGTGCTGTTGATATGGGAAGGAAAAAGGAGCAGGGGGGGTAAAAGGGGACCGTGGGAAGGGAAAAGAGCAGAGGCTAAGGAAGGAGGGAGTGGCAAAAAGCTGATGATAGCATTGCACGCGGGAAAGCAATGCTCATACTCAGTCAGCCTTTCAAAAAAGCAGACGCAACATACTGTGCGCGTATGGGCTGGGCGTAGGTGCTGAGGGAGGGAGGCAGGGTTTGCGGCAATGATGGGATGGAAGTGGGAGAGAATCAAGAGGAAACATTCAAATCGCTCCATCAGCATTCTTTTGAGCTGGGAGACGGTGCCGTCACGTCCTGCCCGCCTTCTCATATTTTTTGGAACATGACGGGGATGGGGAGCTGCCCTATCCACACGTCAGTAGCCATCACTCACTCTGATTTCCTTCAACCCTCCCCCATATCCGTTGTCCCTGCCACCGCCGCTTCCCCCTTCCGTCACCTACACGTCCGGTCAAGACTCCGCCAATCCGCGGGGAAGTTCCATTTGGTTGCGCGTGGGCGGACCTTCAAACAGCGTGCGGAACGGCACATCCGCATTCACCCCTTCCGCTCCGCCTTCCGCTCCTTGCTGCGCCCACAACCGTCATGCGCTTGGGCATAGCATTACAGATGTCGTCAGCTGAACAGCTGTCAGCTGAGACCGTCAGCTGAACAGCCATCACTTGAGACCGTCAGCTGAACAGCCGTCACCTGAGGCCGTCAGCTGAACAACCGTCACCTGAGGCCGTCAGCTGAACAGCCGTCACATGAGGCCGTCAGCTGAACAGCCGTCACCTGAGGCCGTCAGCTTCGGACTGCACGCGCATTCATTCCACCATGACGCAGCCATTCACCCACCCAAATCGCAAGCTGGGGGAGTCGGTGATTCGGGTTTGGGCAGAACCAAGGTGGCTGGAATGGCCAGAATCATCATTGCAAGCCCAAAGACCTTCGCGATGTGTTTCAATGTGTCTTTGTGAAGTCCTCATGTCTTTGTGAGCCACATGAAGCTTTGTTTGTGTGTTTACTCTGGCCCAGCATTGCCCCCAAGTTCATATGATATATTTGCATCCCTTTCACCTCCTCCTACTTGCCGCTTGCCTTGTCCCCCCCCCTGCCGCACCTGCAATGTCTGTTGTTTGAACATGTGGTACGTGATATGGGGATCCCATTACTTGTTGTCAAAACGCAGCATTGGATTGACAACAGAAGTATTGTGGCTATCACATTGTAGGCTACACCTACAACCAGCCAGGAAACGGCCCCTTGCGTGAGCTCCCCCCCTTGCTTGAGCTCCCCTGTATACGTCTGCGTACATCACCATTGTCAAGGCGATTCCCCTCTGGCATAAAGAGAGTTGTCAGCTTGGTCTGTGCAGTTAGCTGCCGCAACCCATCATCCGTGACCGCTGTGCCATACAACCAAAGAATCTCAAGCCCTGTCAGCCTCCCCACATGCACCATTCCGGCATTTGTCACACCCTCGCATTCACAAAGCCCCAGTGCTTTGAGAGACGAAAAGCGTGTCAAGTGTGGCAATCCCGCATTGGTCACCTTGGTATAATGGAGATAGAGCTCATTGAGCCTGGTCAAAGACCCAATGCCATCCAAGGCACTGTCTGAAACGCATGTTAGTTTAAGGTCTATAGTATCCAGTCGTGGCAGCCTGTAGAGGTGCTTGATGCCCTCTGCACTGAAGCCTGAGCTATGTTGCAAGTCAATGCTCTTCAATTGTGTCATTGTGGACACGTGGCCGAGGATGGTGTCTGAGAGGCCGTGGAGATCCGATAGACCCAGATCAGTTCCTCGTGATGCTGACTTGATTCGCTGGAGGTGACACAACAAGGAGTGACCATCTTGGCAGTAGCAAACAAGGCATGTCCTGTCAAATGGCTCACGCGGAACTCACCTCTCACGCCATCTTCTGGTCGCCTTCATTTTGCCAAATTGACTGCTCAACGTTCACCCATTTCCTGCAGGCTGAAAAATCCTCCATGGCACGTGGCCAACTCAACTGCTGTACCTCCCTCCTCCTCTCCTCCTTCTCCCTTGCCAACTCCACGCACAGTGCAGCCACAACCTTTCCAGCTTCCGCACATAGCTCTTTCAAATCCGCTTCACTTTATCTTTCAGCCATACCCAGCTGCTCTTCCATCACATCCTTGTGTTCATCCAGCCCTCGCTTCACCCCAGCTAGCCCATCTTTCACTGCAGCCAGCTCCCCCTGGGTGGCGGCCAACTCCCTCCTCGTTTCTTCCAGCTGCACGCAAAGCGCCCTCATTCTCGCCCCCATCTCACCTTTCACTGCAACCAACCCCCCTTTCACTGCATTCATCTCATCTTTCACTGCAACCAACCCCCCTTTCACTATAGTCATCTCATCTTTCACTGCAACCAACCCCTCTTTCACTGTAGTCATCTCATATTTCACTAAACCAACCCCCCTTTCACTGCATTCATCTCATCTTTCACTGCAACCAACCCCCCTTTCATTGCAGTCATCTCATCTTTTACTGCAACCAACCCCCCTTTCACTGCATTCATCTCATCTTTCACTGCAACCAACCCCCCTTTCACTGCAGTAACCTCCCCTCTAGCTTCAGCCAATCCTATCCTTGTCTCTTCCAGCTGCACGCCAAGCGCTCTCATTCTCATCTCCATCGCCTCTTTCAACTCGAGTGTTCCGCCCATCCTCGCTATGGCAAACCTGACAGCGTCACCCACATCCTGCATCCCAAATCTGGCAAACATTTTAACATCGGCAGCAGAAGGGTGGGAGCATATGGGTGGGCATGGCAGTAGGCAAGGAAAGCCGAAGACGGAGAGGTTAGGACGGCTCCACATGAATTATTGGGGCAATATGAAGAACTCAGGATAACAAATGGTGGAAACGAGAAAATATAGCATTTCATCAGGCATAATGATGCAAGCAAAGGTGCATCAAAGAGGAAACAGGAACCAGATATGGAAGATTTACAGGAAAGGCTTACAGGTGCGAAGGCAAGAACATGGGCGGAAGAGGTTTAGGAAGTACAAGGACACAGGGAGAACGATTTGTGGGTAGAAAGTAAGACGCATGGGCATCTGATGCAGGCATAAGGTCAATACTGAAACCAGATACAAAGCACACTCAAGTCTACACCGGCACATATTTCTTGTTTATTGGGTGGGTGTGAAGTGATCTCACTAACACATGACAGGAGGACCAGATTGAGCGATGGGGAGGTCCGACATGCTCACATGTGGCTGTGGAGCAGAGAGAAGTTTCCACATGGCTGCAGCATCGTCAAGGCAAGAAAGGGAGTCGAGGAGAGAGAAGGATGAGAGATGGGAGAGGGACATGCAGCAGCAAGGGAAACATGAGTGAGAACACGAAAGAGTCAAATGACAGAGATGAGAAAGCATGAGGAGCAGGGCTCTGAATATCAGACGAATTTCGTCTGATGGTCTGATTTTCAGATACGATTTTTAGTGTTCGTATAATTTTTCAGACCAGTAATTTATGTTCATATGATCTCTCAGATAAAGCATTTTGGTTCATCTGAAAAATAAGACTAAGTGCTTTTAACTCGTCTGAGTACTCAGACAGCGAGTATGTTTCAGTCTGAAACAGACAAGTACCAAAGCGGGATGGCAGCTGGAGTACCAAGCCAGATGTGGTGAGTTTCCGCTTGATATGGGTCAATCCTTTGCTAGTTTCACGTTGTAGTACGGGGCTGGGTTCAATTCCTGTTGCTTAAAGACAGTTGTGGCGGTGGATTCCGTGTAAACTCCTGGGAATCCGGGGGAATCTTCGTTAGGAAAGATTCGGTTTCAGTGTAGCTCTATCGTTACCCGGTCTAGTCAGGGAAAAAAATCGCGTACACTGTTTTCCGAAGGGTAATAAAAAAAACACTCTTTTCGAGAAACGTTAACAATCCGGTTATACTACTGGATCAGGGTAAGCAAAAGAGATGGCTGATAAAAAGGGTATTTTACCCCGTTATTCTAGGCCCTGGTTCTACACTTGTCTAGACATTTTCCTATGGCTCAATCTCAGTTGAAGAGTAATATAGCATTTAGAGACAGAATAAACATATGTACCATACCTACCTAATCACTAAACAAAGACCTAAATTTCTAGTTCCGAGCTAAATAGCACACACCCAAAGTCAGGACTCTTTGGTTGGCTATAATTGCAGCCACTTATTGATGCTGTCGCTAAACATGAATGAGTTGGCACCGGTCCGTGAGCCATAAGACCTTTCAGACTCCCTCCCACCATCTCCAGAAACATTCAGTTCTTTGTTGCTTGCACTCTCTTCTTTCGCGACACTCTCCCACTCATCCTCCTTGTCGGGACAGTGTTTGTCAATAAGGGCACTGAGGCAGTATGCCACATCCTTCATGGTGGGTTGCCTTGTGCCGGGAGACTTGATGCAGTCCAGAGCCAGGTCTAGAAAATCCACTATGGCCTCATCACTTACTGGCGGCATCTTGCTATCCCTCAACTCCTCCACCTCATATGCCTTCACCAGCTTCATTGCCTGGAGGGCGTACACACAAGCAAGGATGATGATGGTAGAAGAGGTGCAATGCAGCATGAAAGCCGGTGGAAGGCAGCATGAAAGGGAATCATGGATAAACTTGCGACCTTAAAATGATGAACGGGGTTCGCTTTTATGGGCATAGCCATTGCATTTTTATGCATTTTTTGAGTTGGATAAGAAATTTGGGTTTCATACTAGATGCTCATACCCATTTTTTAATGTGCATTTCCGTGTCGACTAGCGGTGACTTTCCACTCAGCAACTCAAGAAGCATGATTCCAAAGCTGCAAGCAATAATGCAAATGGACAGAGAGGAGAAAAAAATGAAAGATATGAGGTAGAGATAGCAGCACCCACTACAGTTACAATTCAACACACCGACGTGTTACATTAAAAGAGGTACACAAGTTTATTGTGCTGTGCAACTGAAAAAATCTGCAGACCTGAAGACATCACTCTTTGCAGTAATGACGTGAGGTACAGGGCACAAGTATTTAACATAAACTGGAACACAAGAAACCAAAACAAGTTCAGCGTGTTGTGCGTGCGAACCTGAACACGTCACTCTTTGAAGTGATGCTGCTTGTGCGGTTGTAGTCCGGATCCACGTAGCCCGGAGTGTCGGCCACTCGTGTGGCATCAGCATCGCCGTGAGAGAGGCGCTTGAGCAGCCCAAAGTCAGCCACCTTGGCGTGCATGTCAGCAGTCACGAGGATGTTGGCCGGCTTGATGTCGCGGTGAACGATGGTTGTGTCGAACCCATGCAGGTACGCCAGGCCCTCTGCTGTTCCCAGCACTATGCGCAGCCTCTGGCGCATAGAGAGCGGACCTGGGGCACGAAACACGTGTATGGAGGAGAATATGCAGTTATATGAGAGACGGTGTCATGCTTTGTGCAAAACAAAGAAATGTGTATATATGCAAGCAGTCGTGCCAGTGCAACTCACGTGAGCAGAAATAAAAACCAATGCAACCATTTCACCATCGTGCCAGTGCAACTCACGCCAGCCAGCTCAACTCACGCTTGGAGGCATGGATGGGGTACTGGAGGTCCCTGTTGCCTATGAACTCGTACACGAGGATCTGTTCCTGCCTGCCCGTCTCCACATTCTGGTCCAGGCAGAAGCCCAGCAGTCACACCAGATGCACGTGGTGGAGAGACGCCATGGCTCGCACCTGCAACATGCAGGGCGATGCAGAGGGAAATGGGAAGGCGAGCACGGAATCAGTAAATCAGCATTTTGAACAACAAAGAGTAGCCGTTATATTTCTGCGCTCTGTGGGCGGAAAGCAGGGAGGTAGTAGAGGGATGCCTGACCTCCGTCTCAAAGTCGTTGGTCATGATGGTGGAGCGCTTGATGGCCCACAGCTGCCCTTGCTGCGAGCAGCCTTTGTACACAATGCCAAAGCCACCCTTGCCCAACACATTGTCCTCCGACCAGTTGTTGGTGGCCTTGAGCATCTGCTGCAGCGAGAACTGCTCACACACATCCAACCCCTCCCACTTCTCTGTGCACACAACAGGTAAAAGGGGAGAGAGAGAGCGACCAAACGGAATGAGTGACCGAGTGTGTGGATGAGTGGAGAGAGCACGAGGGCAGTGGAAAGGCAGAGTTGTAATGCAGGAAAAACGGCAGGGAAATTGAGCTGAATAAGGGTGGAGGGGCTTACTTGGTCCGCGGGGCCACAGCAACCATAGGACCACAGCTGCCAGCAGCGTGAAGCCAGCAAAGCAGCCCACCGCGATGCCCACTATGGCACCCGTGGAGAGAGAGGCCACTGCCAAGGCAGGGGAGGTCAAGAGAAAGAGGGCGGTGGTTAGCGGGAGCTGTAGAGGGACGGAAAAGAGTGATACGAGATGGTTAACAGGACGTTCATTACTTGGTTATGGGGGGAAGGTGGGGGGCCGAGGGCGGGAAGGAGGGGGTGACAAGCGGGGAAAGGGGGGCAACACGGTGGAAAAGGGGGCAACACGGTGGAAAAGGGGGCAACACTCAAGCCACTGATTCAACATACCGGAATGGGGCGGCAGCTGGCAAGTGGTGGTATTGGCAGAGCCGGCAGCAGTGACAGCAACGTAGCCACTGGCACATGAGCATGAGAGGGACGGCGGCCAACCGCTCTGCACCACACACTGCCCCGCACCTGCACCCCCACACGGACCCTGCCCTGACTCTATCCCACACACCGCCGCACACTCTGTCGGCCCCCGCTGCTGCCCCACCCCCTCACTCCCCAAACAATTCCCTTCCACAGTCAGCCATGCCACTGCGCTGCTATTCCCCCCCCCCTCTCCCCTCCTGCTCCAGTTCCCCCCTGCTGCCCCCCCTGCCATACCCACACCCACTCAAAGATCGTTGCATCCTGGGCTGCCCAGGGGCGGAGGGACTGGGGATGGGGGGTCGCTGGGAGGACGAGAGAGGGGAAGGGTGGGGTTGGGGAGGAGGAGGAGGAGAGGCTGATGTTGGGGGAGGGGGAGAGGGAGCCGTAGAGGTAGTTGCCACTGAGGTTCAGGCTGATGGGCGGCATGTTTTGGAAGGTTGCGGCATCCATGAAGAGGAGATTATTGCTGACGTCACTGGGAGACAGGTGCAGAGCAAAGGGAAGCAGGGGTTGAAGGGGAGAGGAGAGGTCAGGAGCGGAGATGGCCTGTAAGGTACAAGGTTGAAAGCGAAATTCGCAGCACGATTTGTGGTCGATGGTTACAAACAAGAGTGCGACAAAAAGAGCAGCGGAGAGAAAGAGGAATGAGAACAACGTCAGGGTGATGAGCCGAGGGGCAAAACTGAAGGGCGAAGGTTGAAAGGGCAAACGGACATGAGTTGGAGGGAGGAGAGGAAGGGCAGGCAATGGGGGAGGGCCCCCCAGAAGGCGTTGCTGCTAAGGAGCCTGCAGGTGGACGGGCGGGCAGGTGGAAGGACGGGCAGGTGGAAGGATGGGCAGGTGGAAGGACGGGCAGGTGGAAGGGCAGGTGGAAGGGCGGGCAGGTGGAAGGGTGGGCAGGTGGAAGGGCGGGCAGGTGGAAGGGCGGGCAGGTGGGCCCATGGGAAGGTGGGCATCTGCGCATTACACTATGTAAACATTGCACGGTGAGCACGTTGCATAGTGTGGATGGTGCACCGAGTGGTTGTTACAGCATGTGGGCGTTACAACATGTGGACGTTACAGCATGTGAGCGTTACATGATCTGCAGCACGGATTGGCAGAGGAACTCGGGAATGGGGCCTGAGAGCTGGTTGTGGTGCACCGCCCTGCACGGATGGGCAGACGAGAAGAAAGAGGGGGGGGGAGACGGGAAGCAGGGGTGGGGGGGGGGATGGGAAGCAGGGGGGGGGGGGGGGGGGGAGGGGGGGACGGGAAGCAGGGGGGGGGGGGGAGGGGGGGACGGGAAGCAGGGGGGGGGGGGGGAGGGGGGCAAAGTGCGGACGGGAAGCAGGGATGGGCGGCCGGGAAGCAGGAGGGGATTGGGGGCTGGGCGGGAAGGAAAGCAAGAGGGCGCATGGGGGATGGACAAGGGGCAGGGGGGAGGAATGGGGAGCGGGTGGGCGAGAAGCAAGGAAAGGCATGCGCGATGTCTGGGCAGGGGACGCTAGCCAAGGAAGAAGAGCACAAAGGACTCAAAGACAGCACGAGCAGCGAAGCCGGGCTCACGAGAGTAAGAGAAACGACATGTGGTGGCACTCACAGCATGGCCCCACACTCACAGCATGGCCCCACACTCACAGCTAGGCCCCACACTCACAGCGAGGCCCCACCCTCTCAGCATGCGCCCATACTCACAGCAAGGCCAAACCCTCACAGCATGCGCCCACACTCACAGCAAGGCCCCACACTCACAACATGACCAGGCGCTTGAGATTGATATGAGGGCTCTCCAGCAACCCTGAGAGCGTGTTGAGTGAGAGGTCACTGCGGCAATGGGAGCGTGTTGAATACATGTTGAGTGTGTCGATGGAGATATGGGAGAGAGGCATGGATGGGAGTTGAAGGGGGAGAGAGGCATGGATGGGAGTTGAAAGGGGAGAGAGGCATGGATGGGAGTTGAACAGGGAGAGAGGCATGGATGGGAGTTGAAGGGGGAGTGAGGGATGGATGGGGTATAAGGGAGAGAGTAACACATGGGTGGGCGGAAATGGGAGAAGAAAAAGTCACTGTTGAGAGAACACGCACCAGGAAAGAGAGGGTGCAGGAGGGAAAGGGGAGGGGAAGAAGGAAGGGGATAGGAGTTTTTACTCCCAAGATTCAAATGCAATGGTTACGAGGGATCTCGCAGTTACCAGAGCTCTCATGGTTACTAGGGCATACGCACATGACGAGAGCTGGGCTGGCAGCAGCGTTGGGCAGCGGGCCTGAGAGGCGGTTGCGAGACAAGTTGCTGGGATTGTGAGTTGTGTGGCAGGGGACAGGGGGAGAGAGGGCAGAGGGGCGGATGAGAGACGACGTGAGGACGGATGGTGAGGATGAGTGAAATTTAAATAAATGGCTGGTTGCTAGAAGCTGCTGTTCTGATTCCGGAAATTACTGATGGGTGGTATAGATAGGGAAGTTGACTGACAGGTGGGAGAGCTGTCGCAGGTTGAAAATGGAGGGAGGCAGCGAGCCGGAGAGCAGGTTGATAGCCATGTCCCTGCCATGGCGTTGCGTGGCGTGGCATGGGGAAGAATAGGGGGTAGACATGACATGGCCTGGCGTGGCGTGGTATGGGGATGACGTGGCACGGGCAATGGTAAGGGGTGGGCATGTGATTGCCTCGTTGTGGTTCATGGGACCATGGGCGGTTTATGTACATACACAACAATGGCATTGGCAAGGACAGTGGGATGGATGCTCATGTGTCTCTGCTGTGGGTCTTGGGTGGGTGGCTCATGCTGACATCAGATGTCATGACGTGGCATGCTGACATGTCAAGTCACGGCATGCTCCACGGGAAATAATATAGTGGTTCACATAGAGGCATGCGAAGTCCATATAGGAACTATACATGCATGTAGGCATGTCGTGGCCATACAGGTGGGTCATGTCATACAGGTGGGTCATGCCATACAGGTGGGTCATGCCATACAGGTGAGTCATGGCATACAGGTGAGTCATGGCATACAGGTGAGTCATGGCATACAGGTGAGTCATGGCATACAGGTGAGTCATGGCATACAGGTGAGTCATGGCATACAGGTGAGTCATGGCATACAGGTGAGTCATGGCATACAGGTGAGTCATGGCATACAGGTGAGTCATGGCATACAGGTGAGTCATGGCATACAGGTGAGTCATGTTGGGCATGCGGCCGAAGAAGGGCGGAACAGAGCCATTCAAAGCGTTGGCTGAGATGTCACTGCGGAGCATGGGGGATGGGGAAATATGGCAGGGCATGGGGGATAAGTGACAGAGATTTAGGGGAGATAAAGCGATGGGAGGCGAGGGGATACGAGAATGTGGAAGACAGGAACGGCGTGATACAGCATGGTGTGGTAAGCTGGTACCATGTGCCGTGCCCCGTGCACCATGCGGCGTGCCCATGCATCATGCCCAGTGTGCCATGCCCCATGCTTCATGCTCCATGCCCAACGCACACTCCATGCACCATGTCCCATGCCACAAGCCCCGTGTCACAAGCCCCACACCCTTCCCCACACAAGAGCCTCACACAATCTCGAGGGAGCGTAGAGCATAGAGGACCGGTGTGATGTCTCCTGGCAGCTGATTGGACGACACGTTGCTGGGATGGTGCGTGCATGGGTATGGGGTACAGGGATTGAAGCTTTGGGTTTGGTGTGGCATGCAAGCGGGCATGCCAGTGCGAAGAATCAAGTAAAATTGCATGGCATGACGTGGTGCATGACATGGCATGACGTGGTGCATGACATGGCATGACGTGGTGCATGACATGGCATGACGTGGTGCATGACATTGCATGACATGGCGCATGACATGGCATGACGTGGAGCATGACATGGCATGAGGAGAAGCAGCAGTGGCAAGCAAGAGAGAGGAGGGCGCACAGGTAGGTGAGGGAGGCGAGGCGGGAGAGAGCCCGGGGAATGGAGCCCTGCAGCAGGTTGTGTGCCAGGTTGTTGTGGGAAGGGGAGGACGGGGTGGCCAAGGGTAGACACGGGTGGGTGGGGGTGGGTAGGAGCAGGAGATGTCAATACTAGGAGGTGACAGAGACGTACCATGTCATGTGATGTGCAATATCACACGCGCACATACCACCACACATGCTTACACTACACATATGTCGTCGTCTCACATGCTGCTGACATGGCACCTCATATTTGCTGACATGTCATCCATCTCACATGCTGACGAGGTCAGTGGGGTTGTTGACAGCTGGCTGCACGGTGCCAGTGAACTGGTTGGAAGAGAGGTCGCTGCAGGCGAGGAGGGAGGCCACAAGGGAAAGGGAGAGGGGTGGAATGCGGTGGTGGTGGGGAGTGGAATGTGGGCAGGGAGAGGTGCGCAGGTGAGGAGTGGAGTGAGGGCAGGGAGGGGTGCATGTGAAGAGAGAGGCAATTGTGGAAAAGGGGAGCGGCAAGGAGTGTGAAAATAAATAACTTCACTCCACCTTCCTCTACCACCCATGCATTGCACCCACGCATAAATAATGGACAGCAGAGCGAGGGCACACAGCAAATTAAGCGCACATAGCAAAGCAAGGGCATACAGCAGAGTGAGGTAAGTGAGGAGCAAAATGAAGGCAGGAATGGACCCCGTGAGGAGGTTGCCTGACATGTCCCTGTGGGGGAGAGAGAGCACAGAGACACAGTGGGGGGAAACACGGAGAGTATGGGCGGTGACAGGAGAGACGGAGAGGGAATGGGGGTGAGAGGGTGGGCGTTAAGGAAAGCACGGGTGTGACACACGAGAGTGAGGGACAACAGAGAGGGATATGCATAGTGCACAGACAGGTAGGAAGGGCAAGGCAATGCGGAGGTGGCAGGCGGGAAGAGCAGGAGGATAGAGATGTGGTAAGGTGAGGCCAATGCACAGGTCGGAGAGGTAGGTGAGGGTGGAGAGGGAGGGATCGAGTGCTCCCGAGAATCTGTTGTGCGCGAAGTTGCTGGAGGATGGAAGAGGGGAGTCGTGCCGAGGGGATGAAGGGGGGAGAGGGACGAAGGGATGGTGATGGGTGCGGGGGTAGGGTGACAGGGTGATGGAATGGAGTGTGCTGGATGGATGAGCAGGCATGGGTTTGCGTGAGAGAGAATGGTTTCAGTGGTGTGAGGGGATGAGGGTGCCGAGATGATGGGAAGGCATGGTGGTAAGTGCGATGGTGGAAAGCGGTCGTCAGAGTCCATGGCTCATGCCTGTATGTTGCAGTGGGTGTGTGCTCTCGCATGGATGATCAGTCTGCTGCTCACGCACTCACCACCATGCTGCTTAAACACCTCACGCACACGGTAGAGATAAGAGAAAAGAATGCTCCCCCCTTGTGCCTGGAAAAGAATGCTCTGCCCGATAAATTGTTGTGAGATATGTCACTGGGAAGGGAGGGAAACCATGGCAGGGAGGGGCAACATTTCAGAGCATAGAAATGGTTTGGGAGAGGGATAAAAAGGGGGAGTGTGAGATGGGGGTGGTGGGGGGTGCAAAAATAAGGTCAGGGGGTGGCTACAGCCAGGGTTTGGGAAGATATGGAGGGCGAAGGTGGTGGGGGCTTGCCAAAGGCTCAGCTCTATGAGTTGCTTGCCAAGCAGCTTGTCTAGTTGTGATGTTGATATTCTTATTACAGACTTGGCTGTGCTGTGCTCTCCCCAATTTATTCGATGACTAAGGACTGTTCAAGGGAGAGGTCGGAAGGCTGACTGACTTGTTGCATGTGATTTCTGAGAGTTCTTTAGAACCACATGAAACAAGGGGGAGGGGCGACGCACAGGGTGGAGAAGATGGCGACGTTAAAGTCCAAGGGAATTTTCCCCGAGAGGCGGTTGTACGACACGTTGCTGCCAGACAGGGGTGCACAGGGGTGCACAGGGGTGCACAGGGGTGCACGGGGGTGCACAGAGGCACACAGGGGGGCATGGGAACCCATAGGGAGGCACAGGGGTGCACAGCGGAGCACAGGGACGCACAGGGGGCACAGGGGCACACAGCGGCCCACAGTGAGAGAAATCGATAGGCAGGGAAAAGAGGATAGAGATCAGGTTGGAAAGAAAAGCATTTGGATGGAAGGAAAAGAGTGTGCCTCACAAGCGGAGGGCTCCAAAGCAGAGGGGGCAGAAGCAGAGGGGTGAGAAGCAGAGGGGACAGAAGCAGAAAGGTCAGAAGCAGAGGGGGCATAAGCAGAGGGGGCATAAGCAGAGGGGCTTACAAATTCAGGCCTTCAGCAGGTTCAGGGCCAGAGGGCAGCGGCCCTGTGAGGTCGTTCACTGACACGTCACTGGCAGACCGTGGTGGGGGGAGGGATGGGTGTGGTGTGGGAAGAGGGACGAGGTGAGTTTTAAGTCAACTCAAAACCTCTGAGGCCGTTCACTGACATGTCACTGGTAGGGCATGGCGAGGAGGGGGTGGGGTGGCGGAGGTGAGAGGGAGAAGATGATAAGGCGAGGATGGAACAGAAGGAGAAGGAGAAGTTGGTGTATTGAGTAGGCGTGACACCAAAAGGCTGAAATGGATGTGAGGAGAAGGATGTATGGACGCTTGATGGAGAGCGGAGGAAGGGCATGCCATGGTGCATCGCGCATGGAGCATGGCGCACGTCGTATGGCACATGCCGCATGCTGCATGGAGCATGGCACATGATGTCGATGCATGGCACTTGATGCCAACGCATGGCACATGATGCCGACGCATGGCACATGATGCCGACGCATGGCACATGATGCCGACGCATGGCACATGATGCCGACGCATGGCATATGATGCCGACGCATGGCACATGATGCCGACGCATGGCACATGATGCCGACGCATGGCACATGATGCCGACGCATGGCACTTGATGCCGACGCATGGCACATGATGCCGACGCATGGCCCATGATGCCGATGCATGGCACATGATGCCGACGCATGGCACATGATGCCGACGCATGGCACATGATGCCGACGCATGGCACATGCTGCCGACGCATGGAACATGATGCCGACGCATGGCACATGATGCCGACGCATGGCACAAGGTATTGTAGTAAGAAGCACACAAGTCCGTCGGGTTGCTGGCGAAGGTGGGCGGTATGGAACCATTGAAGCGATTGCAGCACAGGGAGCTGCGCGTTACAATGGGAAGACAAAAAACGGGAGATGGAGAGAGTGAAAGGCTTCTGGGTGTAGGAAGAAGAAGAGTTTGTTGTGCTGACAGGGCACAGAGGCCGAGAGAAGAGCCGACAAGGCACTGAGGGCGAGAGAGGTGCTGACAAGGTATGGAGGGCAAGAGAGGTGCTGACAAGGCATGGACGGCGAGAGAGGTGCTGACATTGCGTTGAGGGAGGAAAGAAGTGCTCACATTCTGGTGAGGGAGTAGAGAGCAGCGAGGGGCGCCAATGACCCCGTAAACAAGTTGTTGCCCAGCTCACTGTTGTGGGGGGAGGGGGGAACAGGATGGTGCATGCGGTTGTGGGGCAGGGGGCAGGGGGGTTGGGATGGAGGGGGGGGGGGTGGGGTTGTGGGGAGTAGCAAGGAGGTGAAGGATGTGGTGGAAAAGGGGTGTGCTTGGACATTGGTCCGTGGCAGATGTGGCGGGTGATATGATGGACGCTGATTGGCAGGATGGTGGTAGTTAATGGCCGTGTTCATGGAATGGCATGGCATGACGCCGCAAGGAGCTGAGACTTGGTTGAATGAAACTGAGACTTACATGGAGCTGAGACACGGCATGGCATAGCATGGGCTTGGGCCGCATGGCATGGTATGGCATGGCATGGGATGGCATGGCATGGCATGGGATGGCATGGTATGGCATGGGATGGCATAGGATGGCATGGTATGGCATGGTATGGCATGGCATGGCATGGGATGGCATGGGATGGCATGGTATGGCATGGCATGGAGTTGAGACTCACATGGACCTGAGGCTGGTCATGGCGGAGAAGGACTGGGGGATGGTCCCTGACAGGCGGTTGTGTGACAATTCTCTGCATGCACACAAGTCATTTGGCATGCACACAAGTCATCTGGCCTGCACACAAGTCATTTGGCATGCACACAAGTCATTTGGCATGCACACAAGTCATTTGGCATGCACACAAGTCATTTGGCATGCACACAAGTCATTTGGAATGCACACAAGTCATTTGGCATGCACACAAGTCATTTGGCATGCACACAAGTCATTTGGCATGCACACAAGTAGTTTGGCATGCACACAAGTCGTTTGGCATGCACACAAGTCATTTGGCATGCACACAAGTCATTTGGCATGCACACAAGTCATTTGGCATACACACAAGTCATTTGGCATGCACACACGTCATTCGGCATGCACACAAGGTCACTCAGATTCTCACATGGTCAATCAGCTCAGACATGGGCAATTGACAAGGCGAGTGAAACTCGCCTCGTTTCGGGCCTACTTGTTTTTTAAACGAGGCGAGGCGAGTATTACTCGCCGAGTAAAATCGCCAATTGTCCTACTCCTTACCCGCCCAAACAGGCGAGTACTTTTTTACTCGCACGGGTAAAAATTACTCGTGGCGAGGCAAGTAATACTCGCCTTGCCTGGATAAATTTCAGCATTTTAGAATGTTATTGAGTGAAACCAATAGCCATCCTTTCCCAAATATCCCATTCCTGCAGCCTACATAATAACTGCCCACGACATAAGAAGAACTGAAACACTAGTTGGTTGCTAGATCTACATAGTTGGCCTCTAGTTGGTCGACCATTGGTCGCGCACAATCTAAAACGTTGGCGGGCTGTAGACGTGGATGCTTGGTACCAAACATACGTGCCGGGAGGCACACGCACATGCCAGGGAGCACACATTGTGCTGGGCGGCACACATACATGCTGGGCGGCACACATACATACCATACCGGGGGCGCAAATACATGCTAGGTGGCGCACATACATGCTGGGCGGCGCACATACATGCCGGGCGGCGCACATACATGCCGGGCGGCACACATGCATGCCGGGGGGCGCACATACATGCCGGGGGGCGCACATACATGCCGGGGGGCGCACATACATGCTGGGGGGCGCAAATACATGCTGGGGGGCGCACATAAATGCCGGGGGGCGCACATACAGTTCGTTGAGAGAGAGCATGTTGCCGATGGCATCAAGGCTGCCGAAAACTTGTTCAATGACAGGTACCTGGCGGTGGAAGGGGCGGCATGGCATGGCACGGCTTGGCATGGCACGGTATGTCATGGCATGGCATGGCATCGCATGGCATGGCATGGCATGGAACGGCATGGCATGGCATGGCATGACATGGCATGGCATGGCATGGCATGGCATGGTAGGTCATAGGAGCGGATAGAGCCAACTGTCGACCGACCAGCTGGTGGAAGTGGGTGCCTAACGAAATGCCTGACTGACAGGGACGAAAATGTGACTGACATGGACGAAAATGTGACTGACAGGGACGAAAATGTGACTGACAAGGAGGACTTGTTGACTGAAAGGTAGGAATTGTTGACTGTAAGGTAGGAATTGTTGACGGACAGGTGGAAAGCTTTAACTGACAGGTATGAGAGCTTGGTGAGTCTGCTGAAGAAGGTGGGGAAGGGCCCTGAGAAGGAGTTGTTGGTGAGGTCCCTGCCATGCACGCATGCACGCATACATTCATGCACACACACATGCATGCACACACACATGCATACACACACACACATGCATGCACACACACATGCATGCACACACACATGCATGCACACACTCGCACACATGCATGCACACACTCGCACACATGCATGCACACACTCGCACACATGCATGCACACATTCGCACACATGCATGGACACACACATGCATGCACACGCACATGCATGCACACACACATGCATGCACACACACACACACATGCATGCACACACTCGCACACATGCATGCACACACTCGCACACATGCATGCACACACACATGCATGCACACACACACATGCATGCACACACTCGCACACATGCATGCACACACTCGCACATATGCATGCACACACACATGCATGCACACACACACACATGCATGCACACACTCGCACACATGCATGCACACACTCGCACACATGCATGCACACACTCGCACACATGCATGCACACACTCGCACACATGCATGCACACAGTCGTACACGTGTATGCACACACATATGCATGCATACGCACATGCATGCACACACACATGCATGCACACACACACACACACATGCATGCACACACTCGCACACATGCATGCACACACTCGCACACATGCATGCACACACTCGCACACATGCATGCACACACTCGCACACATGCATGCACACACTCGTACACATGCATGCACACACTCGCACACATGCATGCACACACACATGCATGCACACGCACATGCACACACATACATGCACACACACATGCATGCACGCACAGAAAGAGCAGTCAGAGAGAACGTTAGAGGATTTAGATCCATGCCATTAGTACTGACAAAAGGGCTAACTTCAAAGAGGGACAACACTAACTGACGAAGGAGCGATGTTAACTGAGAGAAGGGCGAAGTTAACTGATAAAGCAGCGGCGTTCACTGACTGACAAGGACGTGAGATTGACGAGGTTTCCGATTTCAGAAGGGATGGAGCCATGCAGATAGTTGTCACGCAGAGACCTGCGAGTAGCCATGGTTGTTCAGGGTGGCACCAGGACATACACGGGCGATCGCATGACATGCTAGCACACTTCCTTTTTGGACGAAGCTTGCTTGTCAGACACGGGTGACCGCATGGTCTTCCCTTTTGGACAAAGCAAGAGCTGACCTTCTGCTCTACATCACGCACGGCACAGGCGATTATGCCGCCTTCTTAGTTTCTGAAAACAGGTAAGATGCATTGAGCTGTTTGCGCATATGCAAGGTAGTGGCCCAGTCCCACCACATGGCTTTCAGTGTGCTTCAAGCGCAGACGCTCACAGGAATTCAAGGTGCTTCAAGCGCAGACGCTCACAGGAATTCAAGGTGCTTCAAGCGCATTCGCTCACGGGAATTCAAGGTGCTTCAAGCGCAGATGCTCACAGGAATTCAAGGTGCTTCAAGAGCAGACGCTCACAGGAATTCAAGGTGCTTCAAGCGCAGTCGCTCACAGGAATTCAAGGTGCGCCAGCTGGAAAATATCTGAAGGAAGCTCCCCTTGAATTGCCTTGTTCGGCCAATTTCTGCACACACAACCACCACGAGTCAAGGCAAGAAAGTGTCACTCGCGAGCATCTCGCTCGCACTCCTCCTGCTACCCTAACCTGGGCATCAGCACCAGCGACGGCATGAGCACCAGCAGCAGCAGCAGCAGCACTGCAGCACCGGCAGCAGCAGCAGCTGCACTGACATATGAGTGATGTAACCATCGGCTCTGCAGGTGAGGCCGACATTGACGCAGGTGGTGATGTAACTCAGGTCGTACGGAAAGTAATCTAGACCCAGTGTCACAACTGATAGCGTTCTCGCTGTCAAGCATTAGATGAAGAACTTTGCCGTTAGGCCCAGACTGCATGAGAGTAAACTTATGTTGGGTGGCAGTATTGAGATGAGATTGTGCTAGACCATTGCGTGAAATACTGAAAGAGAAGCAACATTGCGTGAAATACTGAAAGAGAAGCAACATCGCGTGAAATAGTGAAAGAGAAGCAACATTGCGTGAAAGACTGAAGAACCGAAGCGACATTGATGAGAATAGCTAAAATTGCGTGAAATACTGAGAAAGGAGCCGACAAATGAGCGAAACGAGCCAACATTGCGTGAAGGAAAGCCGACATGCGTGATAGCGAGCTTACCCTCCGTGGATTTGACCGGCCAGTAACACTGCTGCAGGCTTGTGTCCTGACCCGCACACGGCACGGCGTTACGCGCCATCAGCAGCAGCTGCAGCACAGCCGCTAACGGCAAGGCGCTCCCCTTGGAAGCCGCCATCGGTCCACCCGGGTTACGGATCTTACCGCTGACGGATAGTGAACCGAAGTTTGCGAAGAGTGAAGGAGAATCTACGAGCACAAGCGCGCGTACTATGTGGTCCTTAATAGTTATTAGTCGCTCGTAGAGGCTGTCAGGCTGTCAGGCTCGCAGACTGCGAAATAAGGTGCGATGTGCAGCAAGTAACCATCACGAGTACCTCTACCAGATAATTAGTATGTGACACAAGCCTCTGAATTGAACCCTTTACTCTGTCACCCTCTTCCAACCTATAGTAGTTTGGCTCCAAAACAACTGTCTCCTTTCAAAAGAGAATTAGCGCGAATGCTTCATGCTTCATTTCGTTCTTCTCCCTCTCTCTTTCAGGTGCTGTGAGCAGGTCAAGCGCTTGATGTCTGCATTGTGCTTTGTCAAGTGGGGTGAGCTATCGTCACAACTGGCACGACTGTACACTCTGATGTGCAAGCATAGCCATAGTCGACTCGTTCACCTGATGAGAGAAGAATAGCCCGCAACAGCGCGGGTGGCGTAGTGCAGCAGACGGCTACTGGATCTCAAAACCCAGAGGTTCACTGAAGCGAGGCAGTCATGCATCGTGGCTGGCTACTCTGGCAACCTAGCATCGAGCTCAGCTCGGTTCCCAACCACGCAAGGGCAAGGTTCGGTTTGAAGGGTCTGGCAAGGTTTGGCAAAAATATCCTGATGTTGCCGCGCGCCACCTGGCCAGGCCGGGTGGCGGGTGGCGGGAAAACGAAAAGAGAGCCCTGCCGGCTAGTCGATCCGGGGAGAAGATCGGTCGGAAGAACGAAAGCAATATTTAGGGAGAAGAAACAGACCCTCATGGCTCAATGTCTGAGACAGACCCCCACTTGCTTCGCGTAAACGCGCTAAGCACCTTGTCAAGCAAAATTTAGAAATTATAAATCCTCGGGCCATTGTGGATTCTTACGTTTCGATCCATTATGTCCAGTTCCACATAGCAACATGGCCATGAAAACACACAATTCATTCGTTCATTAACCCACCATCCCTCCTTCCAGGTAATGGTGCAACATCACATCAATGCAATCTGTGTTCTCAGCTACCGTATATTCTCCACGTTAGAAACTATTTTGTTTCACATGCTATAGGGTGCCCATACATGTTAGCTTGTCCCATTGCACACAGCAATTGGAGAAGCAACCCCATCTTTTCCATGAATGGGCTGCTTTGGTAGATCAAGACACACGATAATTTGTTCCATGTGCTATGATGTCATCATAGCTCTGCACGACTGCTGCCAGCCACAGCATCCTGCTCCGATCTGATATAATTGTACAGGTATCCCACAGGGCCCACTCTGACCACGTTGGTCATGAATGTCTTGAAGCGAGCTGATGACTCCACATTGCTGCAGATCATGTTCTCGTTGTGGTCCAACTCCTGCTTCACTGCGTCATGCAATCCCCACTACCACATGACTCACCTGCTTCTTCCAGCCACCCCACTTGCTTGATCCAACCACGCGCATTCTCACCTGATACATGAGAGTGCGTGCACAACACGCAGGGCGCAGTGGATCATGTCCTCATTGCACCACACCACCACACCACCTGCTTTTTCCTACCACACCTCTCGCCTGATCCAGGTACGCAGGGCGCTGCGGATCATGTCCTCGTTGCGGTCCACCTCCTGTTTGAGAGCGCTCCTTGTGGTCCCCGCCACCACACCACTCACCTGCTTCCTGGCATGCCACTGACTTCATCTAGGCAAGCACATCTCCCCTTATGCGAGACAGCGCATGCCCGGCGCGCAGGGCACTGCGGATCATGTCCTCATTGCGGTCCACCTCCTGCTTCACTGCGTCTGCCTTGACTCGTGTTGTCACGGTCTTCTCTAAGGGCTCCACTATTGCATCCACCACTGCCAGCACCGATGGGGCGCACTTCTCTGCTAGCTTCGCTAGCACCAGATGGCACGGCATCTTCACATCATAATTGTCTGCCGTGGATGATGGTGATAACAGAGGGAGGCAAGGGGAGGAAAGGGATGAGATGGGAAATGAGTCTGCCTTCACACGTATCGTGACAATGTTCTCTAAGGGCTCCACTAGTGCATCCACCACTACCAACACTGATGGGGCGTACTTCTCTGCCAGCTTTGCCAGCACCAGATGGCACGGCATCTTCACATCACCGTTGTCTACAGTAGATGGTGGTGATACCGGGGGAGGGGGGGCGGGAGGGGGTCGAATGAGGGAAGGGGCCAAGAATTGAGGGATCGGAAGTGGGAGTACGGGAGTTTCATGAGACGGGTGTTGAGTGGGAACGCTTTAGGCAAATGTGCATGTGCTTGTGTTGAGTGTGCAGAGAGCAGTTGCTGTGTCAAGAGGGTACACGTACCGGAGAGCCCAGAGATGAGGAAGGGGGTGATGAAGGCGGTCGGCTGGATGCGGTGCAGACAGGTGAAGAGGGGCGTGTCCATGCAGTCAAAGGCTTCTTTTCGCAGCTCCAGCCCATCGTCCACTATGTGCTTGAACGGGCACAGATCACGGTCCGGATCATTTCAGGCTGCATGTGGCAGGAGGGGAACCGGAGACGTAGCTCCCTCTTGCTGTAATCAAACAAGTAACAGACCATTACAATGACTCAATTTATTGAAGGGGAAAATGAGACGGAGCTTTCCTCTCGCCGTAGTAACAATCCAAAAGGTGGACCCATCCCTTTTGCTACACCCATATTGTCAGCTCGCTACAACGCAGCACCCACCTCATACGAGGCAGCCAAGCTGCTGACGGAACACCGTCAGCGCTGGAGTGTGTGCGTCCAACGGGCACAAGCCAATGCCCTCCGCTCCAAGACCAATGAGGCCCTGGCTGCGGACGAGCTAGGCATGCAGGGGCCCTTTGCCCCCCTTAGCGATCCACCTGCAAAGCGTCCACAACCAAGCCGACGCCGGTCACACACGGTTCAACACATACATCCGCTGGACAATCCAGTGGAGCAGATACGCGAGTGCAAGCACGAGGCCGAGTGGAGACTCCTCGGCAGCCATGGCGACCTGCTGGAAAGCAATCACCCTAGGTCTATCATCAAAACCAGGTTCCTCAGGATAAAGAGGCAACTGCAGAACCCCCGAGCAGCGGCGTCACGCACCACCCCCTGCTGGGACTCGGCTCGGTCAGCTGCGGACCGCATGAAGAAAAATTCCGCTGCTCCAAAGTATGGTGCAGCTGCTGCTTGCATGATTGCCTGGAGGTCACAGTGGCTGGTGATATTGCCCGACGTGTAAAATATGCCCACCATGAGCTGCAGTAAGCCTCATTACAGCCATACTGGATCTGCTCGTGACCTTACGATCCTTTCTGCTAGCAACCTCACTTCCTTCCATGCCTTTCCAGGCAAAGGTGGCTGCTAGAAGCAGTCGGGGAGAGAGAGGGCGAGGGCAGGGGAAGGGAAGGTGTGGTTGGGGGGTTAGTGCTAGGATCCTTGAAGAATGAGTGGAGAGGCACCTCTTTGCTGCCACTATTGCCCAACCACCAAGGAGGAGGGGGAGGACTGAGTGGGTGGAAAACCGGGTTGGGTGGGGTTGGGGTGGGGGGTGGGGGAGGAAGGGAAGGGGAGAGATGTGAGCATGGAAGAGGAGGGGAGTGGGGGGTGGAGGGGGAGTTGGTTGATAGCAGATGAATGAGATGGTGAAAGAAGGTCCAGCTGTAATGATGGAAAGGGAGGGGATCAAGGTGAGGGAGGGAAGGGAACGAGGATTCAGGGGAGATGAAGGACATGTCACGATGAGATGAAGGGCATGATACGATGAGATGAAGGGCATGACACGATGAGATGAAAGGCATGGCACGATGAGATGAAGTGTGTGACACGATGAGACGAAAGGGCATGACACGATGAGATGAAAGGGCATGACACGATGAGATGAAGGGCATGACATGATGAGATTGTTGGGTGCAAAATACTATTTTTGCACTGCAACCAGCCTCCTGCATGACGTTATGCATTTTGTGTGTGTTCTGTGTGCATTCGTTTTTGTATTTCGTTTCATGTGTTTGTGTTGTGGGAACATGATCAGTCATGATAGATCATGACGAGTCATGTTCGCTGATGTCTGTTCATGTACGTTCATGTTTCTTCATGGACGAACATGCACGTTCATGAAAGTTCTGTGTTTCATGAATGTAGATTTATTTTCATGAGAGCTGTTGTGAGTGTCTAGTGTGTTTGAGTTTGGGGCTCGATTGTTTGACCAGCCCCATTGACCATTTCGCGCTGGTCAACTGACAAGTGCGCAAAGTCAGGACCCGCGAGTGGGGTCCTGACACACGCGTGTGGCCTGACAGAACATGCGCATATGTCGCCACTGTTTTTATCGTGTACTGTACACACGATCGCTACAGAACGAAGCGACATGATCGCCTCGTCGTGTGTAGGACAACGCACGGTCGTGTCAGCGATTCTTTTGTCCTGCATGACCGAGAAATATCTCGGGACCGAGAAATATCTCGGCGTGATGAGGGGCATGTGGGGCACTCGAAATTGCGGTTGACTAACGGGATTTCGCGCTGACTTCGCGTGCACAAAAATTCGCCAGAAAGTCGTGCTGCTTTGCTTCATTATTTCTACTGAGGTACAAAACGGTAAAGTCCGTTTGTAGCTGAAAAAAAATCGGTAAACCCACACGAGTGCTCATGATTTGTGCACGAGCGATCATGAATGCTCCCGAGGGAGTCAGCAGGAGAATTTGGCAGCAGCGCAGTGGAGGACGGTTATTCTATAGTGGCAGATCAAGCCAAATTCAAGGGCAGTTTAACAACCGTTTTCAAAGACAGCAAGGCAAAGACCTGGACGACAGTTAGACAACTGCCTTGTGTGTTTCCTTTGTGTGCTTAGGATCTACGATATATGTGTGCTTGTATTTGCTTTCAACAGAACAATGCTTTATGATTTCAAGCATGCATTCTACTACTATATACTGACGAGAGTAGATACACAATGAACTGCTGCCGAAACTCTGCTCAACCAGAACGCTCAATCTACAAGCTAAGCTTGGCATAACAACTCACTTGGTTTACAAGTGATGTTAAGTGTTGCCTAGTTTATGTTTGTGCTTCTCAGTTAATCACTTCCGCATAGTACTTAAAGTTAACACGTGGTATCAGAGCTGGTCCTTAGTCATTCTCAATGTATCCATCAATGGGGTCACCTGGAGAATAAGGGAACTCAGCCCCCGCGAGTAGTGGCAGCCAGGAATCTGGTGTCTCCGCGCCTAGAATAGCCCGGACGAACCAGGGCCCTCTACTAAGGGAAGTGCTGAAGACCTTCTCAGTCGACAAGTTCAGTGGAGAAGGTTATAACGACTGGTCCTGGAAGATGCAGTTGTACTTTCGGCAGATTGGCCTTCTCAAGCTGATGATAGGCACCGAGAAACGACCTAGTACCCCGGAGCTGCAGAACGAGTGGGACGAGCGCTCATCCGCCGGGTACTACATTCTGTCCTAGAGTTTGGATCTCGCCGAACGCCAACACATCATGTTGTTGTTCAGGATCCGTCACTTCGAGAACTTATGACGAACTCATTTCTCAACTAAACTCAAATCCGCTCTGTAGGATGTTGCGCTTTAGGCTTAGCTACCATCTCCAATTTGAATCTCTTAAAAAGATGGTCTAGAGAGTGAGAAAAACTTGAAAACGTCCAGCAGCCGCATGACTAGAATGGTGGAGGAAGTACAAGCATTAAGGCATAGAAAAGTTGGAGTTGGGGACTCCAAGAGAACCATGAGAGGGAAGGGAATCACCAAGAGCTAGGGAAGGATGGTAGGAACCTTCCTAGCAGCAAAGGTGCAACCCTCATCATGAGGTCCTTGAGGTGTCACATGCAAAATCCAATCGAGTTGGATTTTGCCTAGGTGTTGCAACATTTGCAACCTATGCTAAAAACTTCTAGCCACCCCAAACCAAAAGTCAAAGTTGCCTTCCTAACCACCCAACCAAAGATCCATTTATAGTCATGACCCAATATCACCCAAAGTAGATAATATCTCAAAATGAGATAGAATTCCAAAACCTTGGAAGTCTTGTAACTTGGGCGATCTTGGTTGGAATAAGGCGATCTTGGTATCGTTGGAAAGCTCTGGATTTCTCCTCCATTATTAAGCATTTAAACTTGGAGAAAAACACAGAGATGATAAAAGTCAACAGCCATGCACAATGACATATGCTCATGCAAATAATGCAAGTATACATAGCACGAGCACTCGGCAGGACGTTAGGATGACATGCACTCAGAATGACGTGCATCCAACAAACTCCACCTCAGACTAACGGACTGCATGCACACACACTCACAAGCATGCAAACACTCATGCGAATTCTCATGCACACAATCACACATGCACTAATGACACTGCTGTCCACACTAGTGCAATTCCATGCCACACATCTTAGCACACTTCCAATGTGCGCTCTCGGGAAGTCTCTTGGTGAGAAAATCTGCCGATTGCTTGCTAGCCTTCACATGGTGAAGCTAAAAAATCCCCTCCTTCACCATCTGCCTTACCCAGTACCACTTGATCTTCATGTGCTTATTCAGCCCATTCAGGATAGGATTATTGGCCATGCCAATAGCAGCCTCGCTGTCGGAGAAAACTGGTGTAGGTCCCTGCTGTTCAGCTCCCATGTCCTCTAGCAGCTTCCTCAAGAGCACGATCTCCTTGATGGCATGGTACATCGCCATGTACTCTGCCTCTCCGGAAGACTGAGCAATCTCACTCTCCTTCTTGGACCTCCAGCTCACTAGTCCGCCTCCGACCATGCACACAAAGCCGCCAACTGATGTCTGATCCTCCTCCTCTGAGACCCATGTAGAGTCGGTGAAGCACGACAGCTTCAAGGTTCCAGGCGTGACCCCATCTGCTCCAATCTGTCTCAGCTGGCCGCCAGCTGAAAACTGAACACCAGCAGATGTCGTTGATCCGAGGTAGCGCACCAAGCGCTTTGCCACCTCCAACTGCTCCTCGGTGGGCCGCTGCACATCTCTGGCCAGCTGCCCCATCCCGAATGAAGCATCAGGTCGCATATGCACAGCTGCATACATCACACTCCCAATGAGTGACTGGTACTCATTCTGCTGCTCATCCTCGAGTACATCATCCTCCTTAGCTGCCTTCTTCAATTTGAAGCCTGCAGGAAATG